ACTACCCTCTGCAGAGCTTTCTTGTGGGGAAGTAAATTCTGTAAAGTGGCCTGGGATGACATCTGTAAACCCAAAGATGAAGGGGGTTTGGGACTCAGAAACTCAACCATTTGGAACCAAGCACTACTGGCTAAGTGCTTCTGGAACATTGCAGCAAATAAGGAAACCTTATGGATACAATGGGTGCATTCTGTCTACCTCCAGGGCAGTGACATTTGGACCTGGAATCCTTGCAAAAAGGATTCACACTTCTTCAAGAAGATTGCTGAGATTAGGGACTCTCTTTTGCAAAAGTGTGGTGACAGATTCATGATTGAAGACAATTTGTGTGACATGGGGGATATTAAAGCCACCAAGGTCTATGATCTTTTGAGGTCCAAGGGTAACATTAGACCTTGGATGAAAGCAATTTGGAAGCCTTATATCCCTCCTAGATATTCCTTCACTTTTTGGCTTACCCTACGAGGAAGACTTCCCACAAAAATGAATCTCCATTTCCTACAGCTGGATAATAGGAATTGTGAGTTCTGCCATACTGAGGAGGAAACTGCCCAGCACCTCTTCTTCCTTTGTGAGAATACTGCTCTCATTTGGGGAGCCATCAGAAATTGGCTTCATATTGCACCAGCCTTATCCTCACTTGAGAGAGCCATTGAATGGGTTGGAAGACAGAGACACAGTCATTGTGCTAAGCGGAAAATGTGGAGACTGGCAATCTTGTGCACTGTCTACACCATCTGGAGAAGCAGAAATGGATGCTACTTTGACCATGAAGGATTCAACACTGATACTATCATTTACAAAATCAAAGTGGGGGTATATAAGGTGATGCAGAGATTATACCCCCAGGAATCCCTAATCCTTTGATTATTCTGCTTGTGATCAGCCTCTGGAGTTACTACTTTGGATGGGTTACCTTAGAACCAAGGTAAAGTCTTTTTGAGGATACCTTGGTTCTAAACTTTGTGATTTTCCCTTTCCTCCAATGATAACTTTGTGTTTGAGGAGTGTTTGATCTTTGCCTGACTGTTTGGGGTGGTGGAAATGAAGTTAATCCTTTGACCCTGTGTGGGCTGAATGTCTAACTTCAGGTCCTGGACTGACTTGGAAACAGTTCAAATAGTAGATACCCATTTCAAATAGTAGATACCCAGTTCAAATAGCTGGGTCCAGTTTTGGTCCTTGGGGTGCTGGAACAGTTTCTCTTCTGAGATTGCTGTTCCTTGGGTTTGGGCCAGCCTCAATGGCTTAGTCTCTGGACTATGGTATTGGGGTGGTGAAAACAATTTTACCTCTTTATACCCCTTCTGGATATAAAGAGGTATCATTGGGTCCTGGTTGGGGTGTCTTCACCCACCTTCTTTCTTTTCTATCCCCCCCTCCCTTCTTTTCTTCCCCTCCTTTTCCTCCCTCCTCTCTTGCTGATCTTTCTGCTGGATACAATCCATTACATAAGCTAGCTCCTTCCTTTGAGTGGGATTATGTAGATGGTTGTATTTGGCTTGGGTGGGTTAACCCCTTGTGGGTGGCTGAAACAGACAGAAATCATTGTACCCCTTCTGGATACATTGACTTAAGTTTGGGTCTGGTTGGGGGTGTTTACACCCTGCTTCCTCCTTTTTTTCCCCCTCTTACCCCTTCTCTTTCTTCTTCTTCCCCTTCCACCCTTCTTTTCCCTTTTCTCCCTCCTTTCTTGCTTCTTCTTTCTGCTGGATACAATCCATTACATAAGTTTGCTCCTTCTTTTGAGTGGAACTATGTAGATGGTTGTGTCTGGCCTGGGTTTTTTCTGGGTGGGTTAACCCCTTCTGGGTGGCTGAAACAGACATAAGTCATTGTACCCCTTCTGGATACATTGACTTAAGTCTGGGTCCGGTTGGGGGTGTTTGCACCCTGCTTCCTCCTTTTTTGCCCCCCCTTACCCCTTCTTCTTCCCTCTTTTTTCTCACCCCCTTCTTTCTCTTCACTTCTTTCCCAGCTTTCTCATGTTCTTGGACTTAGCCCAATTGCATATAACATCTCTTTCTTTGAGCTGTATATGTATGAAGGCTAGTCCTCCTTGCTTTGAGGCTACTTGGTTACTGGTTCTGAAATTTGGTTGATTCTGTGGATCCTATGATTGGAGGCTCAAAACCTCCACCCTTAATCACTCTTCTGAAGGTGTTTGTTTGCTGCCCATTTCACTGACAGATGGGAGTGTGGATGAATGGATGGCTGTTTTCTCTTTGTGGCTGTACCCAGTTTTATCTACCACTAGTAGTGACTAGTGTCATGTTGTACACCATGTTTTGTGCTCTACCTGATTGTGCTGATTGTGCTGAGAATGGATTTTGATTTGGTTGTGACTTTTGCCTCTATGTTTTGCTTGCCTTTACTCCCTGTGTTGTAGGAGAGATGACACACTCTTCGAAGGGAAATCACTCCCATGTGTTGTAGAAGAGATGCTGCACTCTTTGAAGGGAGATGGACACACCTAGTCGCAATGGTAGCTGTCAACCTCTATTGGGTGGTATCCGTGCTGATGGCTGTCTGCTACTTGGGTTCTGACCTGTTCCTTTTGTTTGTGAAAGGGGGTCTTGATCTTCTGAACCTAGTTGTGATTAGACATATTTCATGCTGCTGATGCTATCCAATACCTTGCTTGACTCAACTGGAATGTGGAGCGTGTTGCAATTTGGATTTGAAGTTTGTTTTGTTCTGTTTGTATTTTGTTTGTAATCTCCTGCTGAAGTTGGTATTCGGTTATCTTTTTGGTTCTTAGTGGTTCACTTTGCTTTGATTTGGCCTACTACCTTTGTTTATGTAGGGGCGTTCTGAATTGTAATTTCTGCTTTGTATAGGCGTTTAGGTTGTTTTTTGCACCAATGCAAGTAACCATCTTATGGTTAAGCATTTGACATTCTTGTATTCTTTTGATTACGGGTAATAATAATTTACATGTTACCTTTGGAAAGAGCGGATGAGAATTTATATCCGCTCAACCAACTTTCAGTTGTGGTTGGTCATCAAGAATGGCGAGGAAACTCCAATGAAGAAGGTCGATGAAAAACTCGTCCCAAAGACCGAGGACGAATTTGATGCCGAAGACATCAAAAAGGTGGAGAACTACGCCAAGGCTATCAATATGCTATACTGTGCCGTCAATCCTGATGATTATCGTAAGATTTCTTGCTGCACCACTGCCAAAGAAATGTGGGACAAGCTAGAGGTCACATATGAAGGTACGGACCAAGTTCGGGAAGCCAAAATTGACTTCCTAACGCAGGAGTACGAGATGTTCAGGATGAAGGAAGGAGAAAAGATCGATGACATGTTCGATCGGTTTTCAAAAATCATCAACGACCTTCACGCTCTCAAGAAGACGTACACCAACAGGGATCTCGTGAGGAAAATCCTGCGAAGCCTCACACCCGAATGGAGATCAAAGGCAGA